CCTGAGGAAAAGGTGATCGCTCGATTGGACTAGGGCGAAAGGACAGAACGCATGTGACTACCTACCCTCAAGACGACGTGTTTTCGACTGGTCAGAAATAACATTAGTTTTTCCATTTATGATATTAATAGTATTTTGACCGTGGTTGGCTAACCCGCATTCGAATTTGGCCACAGTCACCTGGAATGGGATCAAAACTAAAGAGTGCCTCTTATCAGACCCAGCTTCTCCGACGAAAAAATGTGGTGTCCATTTGTTAAATCACAGGCACGACTACTTTGACTGTAGGTCAAGCGGAATTAGAAAGATGGTGACCTAAGCATTTATCCCAGCAACTGAGTAAGCATGGGTTCCCGTCCTCGTACGACGCTCACAGATGCAGGTTCCTGCAACAAAATAAACCAGCAACTCCGTTGGGACGTCATAGGGTTTTTTGTTTAGACACCAAATTCAAGCCATAAACCATGGGATCCAGAACAGCTGATCGTTTTCCCACAAGCAACAACCTATGCAGGAAATTTTTTGGAAGTGCAGTTGATCAACAAACCATGCTTACAGAATGTAAGCTGCATGCTAGTGAGCAGCGGTTCCAGGTCGATCAGGTTAAAGTTGAAAGCATACGATTACCAGAGAGCCTCCGAAAGAAGCCAAGACGGTTTCTATCTCCCTCAGCACTGGCTAACGTGCACAGACGGATGACGTTTGTAGGCGCACACAAGGGTACGTATTAGCTAATAAGCGATATGTAAGAAGAACATGGCAACAAGGTCCCAATTATATTGATGTTGAATTCAATTAGAGTCCACCGTTTGTACGAATTAGTTGCCTTTACTATACCAGAGGGACTCCTGTCCCACAATCAACACTAATTTTGTCTGCTAGTATAACAAGATACTAGTGCATGGCTTTCAATTTACCTTCATAATTACCCATTATGATATTAATTCACTTTATCCGATGAAACGCCTGCCGAAAGTAGAAAATGGCACAACAATAGATCCGTCGATTTGTTAACATATTGTTCGTGAACGATCGTTAACAGCCATCCAAATAGGCGCACCTTTTATAAAAGTAGGTTTGAAAGAACGCGCTGACAATTGCTGAAGGGGACAAAATCAGCCTTAAGTTAGGAATAAAAGTTTTTTTATTACAATATATGTCACAATTTGTTTGCTTCACAGCAGAAAGATGACACAAAAGGGTGGTCCCGCGACTAATCTGAATTAACGGACACAAAATCATAAACGGACCACATATCCCCTGGGGGCCGCAAAAAAACTTGATAGGAGTGGTAGCAAAAGGAAAATAAAATTTTTATTCGTTTAGCGAATCGATTTTTCCATCTAGTCAGAAGAAAAGGAACTAATAATTGGTTGCCTTTACACGCCAACATTACGTGGAGTGATTTGCAAACCTTTCAGTCTGCCTTGTGCTGGATTGACCAACTCTAGGTTTTGCTATTTCATTCATTGTGCGCAGTTAACTTTTCCGAGATAAACGTTATGCAACCGGTGAACCACATCATAGATCGTATGTGATATAAACCAACTTTTGCCCATTAAGGAGTTCTCTTGTTATGGACGTAATGAAACCTTTTTCCTGGAGCAGTAAAGCAGTCTTTGAGATTCCCAGTCTCAATATGTTTTGAAGAACCACTTGCTTTTAACCGGGAGTAACTATCTCAAAAAACCGCTGAGATGTTTTCGGATGTCCCAAGTAATCCAAAGATCACACGGGTGTTACATGCGATGAATAGTTAACAACGCGGCAAACAAGCATGAAGTCTTTGAGGTGGCTTCGAAACAATCAAGCACATTTGCCAAGGCAACATATAAAATTTGGGTTTTACGCAAGCAAATCACACACACAATCACCCGCCGGTTGGCTTGAAATAATTTCTATCTACACCAAATGGTCGTGGAATTTGGAATCCGTGTGAAAATACTGTGCATGAAGAAAGCCGAGGCAAGTTTTAGAAGATTGCGGACTGAAACCATCTGCTAGTTTGAAAAATTTCATTGGAACTTTTCCTAATGCTGCGGGAATGCAATCAAAAGCCTTCAGAAAACTTTAAGGATCAGATGTCTAGACTGCCAGTTAACCTGTTTGAAAGCTTGATGGGTTTGTTTGGACTATTAGAAGGAATTTCAGGGTATATACGGATCGCATTTGACGTCGTGCTGGTAAAGCAAGCCGTGCAGGATATCAGCTTTTAAGGGTTGTCGTGAAACGAATTTGCGCAGATAGGCGATGTATGATTACGGGCCTTGGGGTTCGCATTTTTCTCGTTTTAGAATAAATTTAAAGGAACACAACAAGGATGAGGACATGCTATTCACAAAAATCCCAGTCACTATATTTTGAAACCCTAACAAAACACATTTTAACAGTTTTGACTAAAACAACCGCCATGTCTTCTGTTTGTAGTTCTGTGGCAATACGTAGTCAAGTGAAAAGCCATGGACCAGATTCGACTAATTGGATGGCTTGCGCGATGTCGTTCGGCAAAGCTGGTTGATTAAATCCGAAAAGGAATGAACGTTGCGTGTTGGTTGGTTTAGTATTTGTGAACTAAACTTGTGTTTTAGCGGTTATGCATGTATAAGTTATCGGAACATGTACGAATTAGAGTTGATTCATTTGATCTGATTTGTTAGGAATGAGGCTTTACGTAAAACGCAGCATATTTGTCGAAGTGAAATTTATATGACCATTTGTTACCTGTTCTACTTTCAGAGCACAGTTTCCTTTTGAAACAGTTTTTACGGGATTATTCTTAGAGCAGCAGTTGATTGTAAACAAACAGTAGAGGTACTGCTTGGAACATTTTCAATCTTGAATTCAACTCTCGTTTTTTCCACTTCACCGGACAAGTTCCGCGTTATTCCGGCAACTATTTTTTGAATAGTCAGTAGTCCTCTCACTTTGGTGAATTCAGATCCCAACAGACAAATTCAGAGTGCATTGTGACCCATGCGTACTTAGTCAACGTTAATTTAAGCTTGTCACTGGTCGGGCAGTTGGTCTACTTTTGATTTGAATAATTCTTGGGGTTGCTATACAGTTACCGTCTCCGAGACGGCAATCAATAACGCCGCTTGCATATCAAACCTTCTCAGCTCGCTGACTATTCTAATGCGTGTGGCAAGATTTGCGGTTCACCATGCCGTTTCAAGAATAGCAGCAATATTGATACAATAACATACTAGTACATAATACAACAATCACAATGTAACAATATAGCAATATTTATATAACAATGGAAACCACCCACAGGCATTTGAGTGAAATACGCTGTTGCCGATGTTGGTAAACAGACTAACAGCTATTTAAACAAAGCAAGATATCGGGACTCCATTATTCTTGGAGTTATAAGCTAAATGCTTGAAACCCTGTGGCTTTACTCTAATTTAAACATCTCACGCTGTGCGCGAAGTTTTTGGTGTAACGCAAGCGAAGCTTTTGTCTACATTTGTCATCCACGGGCTGTCTCATAACTGAATAGGGTGGCCGTGGTGTCTGTTAAGCTTTACACGTATACACATCTCATGCTTACTCCTTTTATAGAGCAGATGAACCGTTCTAATGGATTTCCACGTGGATTCCACCATTCAAATGACGGTCCCGTTTTTCCGTCTGCCAGTAGTGGTTTGTATAAAAGATGAGTGTGAGAACTGCTTTCCAACAAAATACGAGCCTCCAGCAGCTTCCCAGCTTGAGAAAGATGTTCGGCCTCAAGTCGTCTTTAATGGTTGTGACAAACCCTCAACACTCATGAGGCGATCACAGATTCGTTTTGAATAGGTATCGATCTTCACGCTTATTCTTCATTTTGTCAGGTGACTATTTAGGTAAAGCCTCCTCAGGAGCGGCATGGTCACCAGAATGATAGTGTGTGACTGGAAGTTGAAGAGTCACATGAGAGGTGACTGCGTGCACACACGTGAGTCTCAACGTGAACACAGTGCTGCGCATTGTGGGACATTTTGGGAACTAATCTGAGTTAATAGACATGGTTCATAATGCGCTCACCATTTAACTGCTGTGATAAATCGATAAAGATTATTTCTAATATTTTCTCAGTAAGCTGGGAACAAGATCCGCTATTTCACAGCAAAATGTCGAATGCTTAGTAAGTGCACCCTCCAAGAGCAGTCTGTGTCATATTGGCTTTGCTATAAACCCCATATGGATGAGAAAATGGGAATATCCCTTGCTCATACACGGCCACGTATGTCTGTAAAGTATTGCAACACACATAACAAAGTACCACGCTTGAAGGAGGATGAAGTTTAGCCAAAATCCAATTATAGGTAGCTGTGGGAATTATTGATTTTTACGCTGTGTTAGGGTTTCTATCTTTGTGGCGACGCGATGTTTTTGTAGATATATCACTTCGGATGAAGTAATCATTGGATTATTGCACCGTTGTTCTCAGTACCAATGAGTAGTAGATATCGCTGATCATGTTGGGATTTGAAACCCGACCGTCTAAAATGGGTAGCAAGCACACTGCTACCAGTGCACAAGCACATGGGATGGGGTCAGTTGTGCTAACAGGTCCGGCAGGACGCAAATTTCACTCCCGAGCAATACGCGTGTTTGGTCAAGTGGCTCCTAAGAAACGCCAACTAGATCAGTCCTGACTAAAGGATCAGTTGACTATGTGGCACCTATTGCACACTTCAGTCTTGGATAAAAGTCTCCACTTACCACGAAAGTGTCCTGGTGATGCATTGCAATTCCATTTTGTCCATCGTGCTATGATTCAGAAAATCGCACTGAAAACATGGAGCCTGATAATGAATAACGTGTTAGAGCAAAGTTTTTCACTCATAGTTCCCAGACTGTTCGAACTTTACCGCTAATAGTACGTAAAGCCTCATCTAGGCTCACGAAATCACAGTTTATACATTCAGAGGAAGTAGATATTTCAGGGGAAACGGCGAAGTCTTGAAAATTCTGTTACCAACAAATATTACGTGCAGGCGGGTACGTACCACGTATTCAAATACCAATGTCAGGGAATTCGGTGCGTAGATCACATCGTGGAGCGTCACAATATTCGCATGTCTTAAGTGACGCAGCAAGCTGATTTCACGAATTGCCGTGCACGGAGCACCTTCGGTTGCCTCCATTCGTATCTCCTTCAGAGCGACTATGCGTTCAAGTAACATACTGTAGCCTTTGTACACGCTAGCATAGGTGCCCTGAAAAGGTTGAAAGAACACGAGTTTTGAAAAAAGGTAGCAGAACCCAGTACGCAATGTGGTTTACCGTGAAAGATTGCGACTTCTGATCAAGGCAACAAACCTTAGCGAATGGCGTAGTTGCATTGATTTTTGGGGCATCTGTAACTGTAAACAGCATCATTCAACAATTCCGAGGTCATGAAACCTACTTTACACTTGTAGATGAAATTGAAAATCCATGTGTAGTAGACCACAAATCAATAAATTCGTAGGCTTTCGTTAGTTGGGGTAATGCACTAGTTGAGAAATCAAACAACCTCACTGAAGATTCAACCAACAGGTACATCTCTGATCATAGAGAGGTGATTCGGAATCCGGTTGCGAAAGGTCATTCTGTGCCGGAAAAGAGGTTGGTTGGATTGTTTTGGAGAGGGTCTGCTTGTTGGAGCAGAGTGAATGATGAAAGCAAACGCAATAGAATTTTCCTGCTTTTCCTGATGAAATAAAACGGTTTGTCTACCTGCTACACAATTCAGCGCACGTAACCAAATGTCGAGGACAAATTTTGGAGATCATCTCTTATAAATAGAGACAAAAAACTCGTCGAACTCCAGTGATTCAATCATTGAAATCTTTCGGAATATCATGTGAGACGTTGATTATAGGGTTGTCTAAAATCAAGTGGAATGACTTAACAGATCCAAGAGCATTTTTTGGCATGGATTCGCAGTAAAAAATGGAAAGACACGTTGGCATCTAAGTAATGCCTCATTTGTCTGCAGTAGATCTGTTGAAAATAGCCAAGTTCTGATGAAAAAATAAAATTAACCGAGCTGAAACAGTCAGTGGACGATGCTAACAACTTCCACGTTTTTTATTATCGTAATTATAAGCAGTATTGTGGTAGCACACTACTCATTACGTTGCTGAAAACGTTTCAACATCCCACGACTGGTTTCGTCAGACGAGCGTAGCTTCCGAGCCTGCACCAATCGTGTCTTCTCTCTGGACCAAAGTCGTACAAAATTCGACCAATACATTCATTACAAACGAGGAATTTAGTCCGGATTCAGGTGAGTCTCCCATGATAACCAAATTGGTGTGCAAATGAAGTATTTGACAACAAGTGTCAGTTTCGTGAAGTATGTCAACCTGGTCGTTCAATGACAGTCGATATAATGTTTATTAGAAATATTTTCGTACTGTTTCATGATGTGCATCCCACGGACGAGTGATTTAAAATCCATGCTTGCGAAACCTGACACCGCTAGACTTCCGGTTTTGACAGCAAAATTTGGCACGGCTATAAATCTGTGCGTAAATTACTTGATATATGCCAGAGAGCCTGTCACAGCCATCTGCATGACAAACTGTATTGTGTTTTTAAAATGTCAGGTAGAGTTTTTGTAAAAGCCCTCTCCAGCGTAAAAACAGAGGATCATTGGGACTGAGCGGTGAAATTTAACTTCAGAGATGGCAGCTTGGCTCCGAATAGACACCTTGCTAAGATAGCATAAAATCCATATTCAGTTACGTCTCCCTTCAACACCAACTTAATGAATGTATTTTAAGGGTACCCCGTTTCTTTGAAGAGATCGACGGATATCCTGCCAAACAAAGCTATCAATAATTTTCGAAAGCATAAAGAAACTCGTCAGTCTATTGCCAAGCCGACGAAACACAAACACCTGATTCACTTGATTGTAGATCAGGATAATCCGGACACAACTTGTTCCAGTGTTTCACTTGCTGTAGACAAGTTTCCGTAGCATGCTCTCAATCCTCTTCAAGTGTCATCCTTAGGCAGAGTAATTTAACATATGCGTAACACGTATGGGTGGTTTTGACAATAGTTGGGTACGTTAATGACCAGGCAAAAATTAAAACACCGCGGGAATACTTAGAAATTCCGCCATATATTTCTCTTAAACCAACCAACTTGCCTTGCATCCTAATGAAAAGGCTTCAGTTCTGGATTGAAATACTCGTGGGCGTTTTTGTTCACAGCTATGGGAAACATCTATTTCTTTCGTTGAGAACCTAACAAGTATCCACTAAAATGTTTTGGAATTTTAGTTGAGCCTTCTTGGGGCATGGTGAGTTAGTTGATAAATGTTTGGAAATTATCGATTCCTGTGTTAGAATAAAATGGGTGCTTTAAGGATAAGTTCACAGAACATGTGCATTCAAAAACTTCGGGTATCCTCATTTTGGCCAGATGCGAGGAAATCTCGATGAGAAGTTACCATCCGTGAATAAGCATTCTACTCAGTAGACGAATTCAGGCTTGTTGCAAAAGGCAATAAGTACGACAGAGCTGATCGAGGAGTATTGATAATCACGGGAAGCAGTGGGTTCGGGGATCACCAGAGGCTTGTGAGATGCAGAATAGTGATCATCCTCATAACGATAAATGAGGTGCTCAGTGCTCCTCGACGTTTCAGCATGGAAAAGTCACTAGAAAACTCTAAGATTTCAAACTTGTTGAGGAATTAATCAGAAAGTTTGGCCGCTGATGAGCATTTAAGCCAGTTTATTAACAGTGATGATACCATTCACAAGCGCCACAGGTTCTTCTTCCACAAGGCAACGAGATACCATGAATGGCTAGGTTTGCAAACCTCTGATGACCGAGAGTTCGTCGATTAGGAAGTGCGTGGATTTTCCTCAGATGCTCACTGATGATGATTCCCAATAAGGATGAACCAGATGTACGGTGCTTCCCAGCTTCTCGGCCTTTCCCACAGGAAGAAATCTCCGTTAGAAACTCCCGTGTCACCTCAACCCACATTCCAATGTAGGTGAGTACTAACAGACTAAGTTTTGGGTGGAGTTGATGACATGACAGGTGTAACGCTGTTTTGGTGACCAGCTAGTATGCCGGGTAGGTGAAGCCTTGACAGAAACAGTCGAAATACCGGAATAGGGTTTGAAACTACGGAACATCCCGTCAACAAGTTCACGCCCTAATCGCTGAGATCTCAAACTCAAGATTGATGGCGGTGATGGCAAATATCTTGCAAACAGTTAACTGGTGTTTAACTGTGTTTGTTTACTAAAGTTTAATGCGTCACGCATATATATATATATATATATATATATATATATATATATGGGCAATACGCAAGAATATGGAATCGTAGAACTGCTCACCTCTCCAATCAGTTCCAGTTTCTTGTAGGATTCCGCTTTTCCGAATCCCATTTCATGCTGAAAACGGATAAAAACGCGTGGTGTAGAAAAATTTGTGTTACACTGATTTCGTCAGTGTTTGTAAACTGGGTGGTTTCTAGCGACATTTTGCCGTGGTGATTTGAATGTGGGACGGCTGGATTGCTCCACATGATGGAGTTGAATGGCTGATGGATAAACGGAGACATATTTTACCAAAAATATTGTGTTGTACGGTGTTGTCAAGGTGATGGTTGACTGCTGACTTATGTTGAAATAAGATACTTGACAACACTCTTTACCTGTCCTGTGAGGGGCAAGTTGGATGTGTTACTGCCGACATTTCATTGATTCATCCCTGAACAAAGACGATTTTTCATTTGGTTACGTAGGCTTTTGGAAGCAGTTTTTTTGTTCTTCGATAATTAGGTTTTTTAATGCTTCTAGTCTGCGTGGTATTTCATTCTTCTTTTACTCAAAAAATGTATTTCCTCTTAAACCTGTATGTTTTATGGAAGCACCCGTTCCTAAGGATTTTAAATTGCTAGATTCGACAGTGATGACACGTTCTACTTTGTGCGTGTAAGTTGATCAGTCATTCAAAATGCACTGTGACCAATAGATGCCTGACGCAATACGCAAGTGAAGATAAAAGCTAGATCGCACAGATGCGGTCTAAACCCTATGAACTCAAACGGTCATGTGAAAGACATCAATTGCGGACTAAGAATCACTCTAACTGGTTACGAGAGATATCGGAATTTCTGCAGGAAAATTAACATCTAAATTAGTTTATTTTACGAAATATTGTTAGACACTGATAAATTTACCATAGAATGTCGCAGTTCCCTCCTTGAGGAGGCACGTGGAATGCGAGCACCAGTTGGACGTGTGACGGAACCGTCAGTTGGTGTATCGGAACCCTACAAATAGAACATTGAATAAAATAAAGGATGCAAAATCCCATAACGCAAAAGCTATAGCAAAATGCTTGTCATATTTCAGTTGAATAACTACTTATCGACAAGTCATCTCAAATTAATTCCTTGCCTACGAACTTCGTTTGATTTTACAGTTCACTCACTATAGCACCCATTAAAACAAACCATCAAATATTTGTAAACGGAAGAACACTATGATTTTGTAAACAAGTGGCAGTTTGCTACCGATATAATCAATACTTTAAGAATACCACAAAGCACCGCGGTCACTGCAACCATTTTGGCCAATTTTGAAAAAAATCAATTTGCACACCTTCTTTCGATTGGTTTAAACTGGGAATTGGTGGACTACATTCAGCAGGATTGGTAATCAACTGGCTTTTTAGCAACATGAATCGGCTTTAGGGATATGTGGGTGGGCTACGAATGGTGATTCAGATTTTGATGATTTACTGACCCTCCTAAGCCGCAGTGTATCTGGGTAGAGCCAAGTTGTCAGAAATAATGCCATGAAATGAATCAGCTCAAAGTAATTAGGACTCGGCCTAGTTTAAGTGGCACTGATTTACTGGTACTTTTCACATACACCCAAATACGCGTTGGTGCACACACAGCTAGCTCGATGACAACTCATTATTTATGGCAGGTGATCGATAACGGATGAGTTAAAATACAGTATACGACCGTTTCACGTGCGTGTGTTTCACGCGCAGACTTCAGGCGGTAAAATGAACCCATCTTCAACGGTGTTACAGTACTGCCGATAATCCTATATTCTATTTTACTTCGATCAGTAAACTGTTATTATTTGTATATCACTGTTCTTTTCCTTCACCGCGATCGACGGATACTTGAGCTTCGCCACTTTCGTCGGAGTGCATTAAAACAATGACCGTGCAGCTTGTAAAGGAGAAAGCACTGAGTAAATTAATTCAACCACTTTCAACGTCTGGTGCAAAGTGACGGTTGGATCTACTTTGTGTAGTATTACCTCAATGAAAATGGATCTTAAGCGCCGAATCAATTTTGAGGTGAGTGGCTTATCGAGGTCTTAGGTGGAATGATGAAACCGAAGCAATGGATCAAAAGCTAGAAAATCTCTGGGAGAATAAACTGCTTGTCGTAAGATATTTTTCGTGGAACCAGGTGCACTAACTATGACCTAAAATCGCCTCTCCTACCTGTAAAAGTGATGCCCAGACACTCATTATTGCAATTCTGGAGGAGTAAAGTTGCGCAGTTGGGAACATGTCAAAGAACAGATCTCGTAATCAATCGTCGTTGCATGATCTCGTCCGCCGAGCGAAATAAACGGATGCAAATTAGAGAGCTGGTGGTAGCTTTTACTTGAACTTAAAATTATACATGATCAGTTAGTATTCCCAGGTCTATGTTCTGCTCTCACAATAATGTTAGTGTTCTTCCTCGGCTGCCATAATTTCTTGTTTAAATCATAATGCCACTCATTTTTATATATACAAAAGATACCACTAATCTAGCGGTTTGTTATAATTTGTCACGTTTTGCATGTTGGAAAGACTTTACTGAAGAAATTGATCACAAAACAATATTGGTTTTACCGTTTGGTACAAACTAGTCAGCGGTTAAGGCATTTCAGACAGTTTTTCAATCGACGCCGGTTTGAATGAAGCACGAATACAATTCAAGTCTAGTCAGAAATTGAACTGAAAACGTAGGGCCCGTAAAACTCTTATTTGTCTGCCATTTAGCATATGCCTTGAGATTTCATGTTTTATAGGGTTACAAAGAGTTGAAAAAAGCGTTATGGAACTATGCACTACAGAGACGAACTGTGTTAGGAAAAGCAAGTTTTGTGGAAGTGTACCCAGGATGTACTATAGCACGTACACTTATATATTTACGTAGCAAAAGCACTTCATGCTGTTTGCCGTTCATCCTGACTGAAATTGAGATCTCCCTACTTGCTGTGAAGTTGTGCCGAAATTGCACACAGAAGATCTGAAACAGGGTACCATGCGAACTGTCAGGGCCGCCCATCTTATGGTGAGTCTAAGCACCACCGTGGTGTGGAGGGACGAGGCTTCCGGTGTGACACTTGTACAACATTATTGGATTGTAGCTTTTTAATTTGACAAAAATTACTCTACTCTTCATTGATTGTGTCTATCCCTACTGGACGCAAATGGCGTACTGCGGGCACGGGTTGGAGAACACGTCACAGACGCTGACTTCAAATGAAAGAAGATGAACCCTTTCATCGTCTCATGAGCATGCCTATTTTCAAGAAACGTATTTGAAAAGATAAGCCAATCATTCAGCTGTAACACTTTTAGGTGACTAAATGCAATGCCACTCAAAGGTTACCCAGGCCTAGACAGGGAAATTTGAGAGACGGAGGTCGGGTTTGAACCTCTGAGCTACCCACTGAGCTAACTTGGGGAAAGCAGCTAGGTCTTGTATAACATAAAAATAATGCCATAGCTGAAAATATTGCCATAGTTTCTATAGCGCACATATCGACGTGACTGGAAATGCTCAATCTGGAAAGCACAGGGCGAGAGGATGTGGTTGAGCGTGCCAGCACTGGTCGCAGTTGTCACCCAGTGAGTTTTTGGAATAAAGAAGTGAAAAATTAGTATTTGTTGTCTTTTATACAAGTCATTGAATTTTTCAACTTATTAAACATATTTAGATTTATATAGCAGTAACTGTGGGCCCAGCGTCCTTTCACAAGTTCTTCAGACAGCATGAAAACAAAGAACACGACATACAGCTCACAAAGTGCGTGAATATTCTCTCCAGCCCTCCCATTGCTGTTTGTGTGTGGAGTTTGGGACAAGCAAATTCAACTGTGCGATTAATAGCGTTGCGATTTCAGACCTTACACAGGTAAAACGTGGGCAACTTAAACTCGTCATTGTGCCAACTTACTTACCTACATTCCAGACGAGCTTAAGGCTGCTAATTTGTGGTTATTGGCTGGGTTTGGCAGTCTCAATCCTTATGCTGAGTATAAAGTTACAAACCAATGGAAGTTTAAGACTTGCAAGTCTGAGCCGACTAAAAGAGGTTTTTCAAATGTAGGTGACGGCATCAGGTTTATGATTCCTTAATGAATAGTTTCAAGCTGGAACCCCATAGATCACGCTTAGACCGGTCTCCACCGGTCTAACCGGTTGTTGGCCTTTTTAGCCAGTTTCACTAGGATGCTAAATGTCTAGCTGATTTTTCAGCCCTTTAGTGGAAACTGGCAATTCCTGAGCGCTGGATTTGGATTTTTTCAAAATAATTACAGGTGATATGGCCTAGCAGAAAAAGTGTTTTACTCTTATTGCGAATACTGTACTGATTTTGGACTAGGAGTTTGATCTTGGGATGGATGAGGGTGAACGGCTGGGAAGGTGAAGACGATCAGCTGGACAGATGGCCACAAAGTTTGAATCTCCCCCTGCATTTGGGCGTATTAATCGGGAAGTTAAACATTCTTTCCCCACTCAACCCTGCACTGACGATGTCACCTCGATTGGTGATGAAACGTTTGCAATCCAACTGCCAAGCTCGGCGAACAGACCAACAACCAAACAGCACACCCGAGCTACCTACATTCCACAATATTTCTAACAGTTTTCGCTCCTGAGCGTCTAAACCGAATCTCTGACAAGGCAGGAACCAACCAATAAAAACGAATCAGCGACTTGATCCATGGTTGCGTTAGTTTTATACATGACGCGTAGCACAACCAGGAGTTGATACCTGTCTTTCTTGATCCCAGGAAAAAACGTTCACTCATGTGTGAAAATTTGGTTGAAGATATCCGGCCTGTCGAAATAGTGGATGAAGCTGAAACTGAAGATATTGGTGTGAGTACTCATCCGAACAGTAGAATTGCGTAAGTTGACACTCGTGACACATGGTAACCTATGGAGGTTCTTTAGCAATGTGTCACACAGAGGTCTCCGTATTTCACCCTAAATATTTTCAGCCATGTGACAAAGTTTGTTAAAGAACTCGAAACAAAAACCATGAACACGCTTGAAATTCAAACAGAAACCTGTATTTTACTGACTTGTTCGTGAGTTTGATGTGGAAAACTGAAGCGTGACTCATCCGAAGTTATTGTTATTTCACTCTTTGGGCGCTTTTGTAGTCTGAGTTTCGTATCATTTGGAATATCCACTTGACCGTTAGCTTCTTCGTTCATTTGGTATGCTTGCACTCGGCACCCGTTGCTCCCGTTCTCTAAGAAGCTCACTTTGTTCGGTTCATCTTTCTCATTTGGATTGGACACCGAGAGTTGATCCACTGAATTCCAGCGACCTGGTTTTCCTCGTCGCTTGCCTTTCTTATCTGGCTGTACGGAAAGCCATTGTTCGGTAGACGAGAAATGCGCTGAAAACGTTGTTAGTTGTGGTGTGGTAGTGTTGGGGTGAGATTTCCCCTTCTTGCGACTGAAAACTTTATCTCGCCGAAGTCTAACCTTTGGTTGTGCGTCACTGGGTTTGTTGCTTGAATTGACGTTGCTGACGGGAGTGCCGTTTGTGTAAAGGCTGTTTAGTGTGGTGAGGTCTTGTGAACGCGACAAGTAAGCTACAGAGTGGGTGGAAAAAAGCATGCACGAAGGTGTGTGATTAGGACGTGAAATAGATGTTCACCATTGTATCCAACTGCGTTAATCAGCAACTTCATGGGAAAATGGATGCAAGAACATAGTGAGAGTAGTTGTGAGAGTGGTGACATGAATTTCTATGCCAATGGGGTTTATGTTGTCTCCCTGCTGTTCCTGCAGCGGTGTCCGGTTTACTTTATGCATCAGAGAGGCATTGGACTTAGATTTTGCTCTCTTTGGACAGTAATGTTGCATCACTGACCATTTTGGCATCTGTACTCTGTCATATGACTCTAGGAGGCTTCGCCACCTGAACACAGTGAATGCATCTGAATCGTCATATCTGAGAAGGTGGATATGTTCACATTTGCGTGACGTTTATTGTTTAACAGAAATTCCTTGGAACCCCATCTGGAATTACCCGTCTGCTGGCACCACACAAGTTTGTAACTTGTCGGAAACCGGTCATTGAACGGTTTGCTGGGCTTGGCAAATTCCTTACAAGTGTTTCGTCACAAATCGAGTTGATATTATCAACTTGTAGTCGCGTAGCGGTTCATCTTGGTTCATTGGACCGATAATGGGTATGATGGTGGCAGTTAGATTACTGACAAAACGTCTGAAACGAGTACCAGGCTACTAAACCAATTCATATGCCAACCTTACAACCTGAGCTTCGAACTTTCTCTTCTGTTGGAAACTTTAATTTCTCTACTTTTGAAAAGTCGCAGAACACGAGCTTTTCGCTTATTCATAAATTGGTTTTAAACAAAACAGAAAAACCACTCCAGGAGAGGAGAGTGTTCGTCTACTGAGACGAATATGGAAAAACATTTGTGTGACATTGTTGCACTACGACACTAACTAACCGATCCAAAGAAACGCAGGCTGGTTGAGTAGTGTTGCCAAGTGGGTACGGGTTGCGCAGGTAGGCGGTAAACTATTAGATTGCTGTTTGAGAAGTGTCTAAGAAAAAAGCTAATACACAAGCTGACCAGTGCTTGAAATAGGTATAAAATCATTTACGTCTAGTCGCCATTTTATTTATAAACAGTATATGACCTTACAAGGTGGTAAAATTAGGACCACTTTCAACAGAGGTTTGGTCCTGCAAGTGCAATTAGCGTACACCGATGAGCTAGTAATTTTCCTACAGCTGTTTTATTCTGGCAAATCAACGTCGGCAGTATGCATCATACAGGGAATAGTGTACCTGAAATTTCAATGGGCACATAAATCGCATACCAATTTGCTGTAAGTGGCTCACCAACAATGTGCGAAACCCGCAATCAGAAAGGGTGAAGAACCGCCATCCTTCAGGTATTCTGGTCACATCAGGTGAAACACTGACCATTTTAATAGCCGACCTGGAAATCTTCCTACTATCTCTAAACGTTGAGGATTTTAGTTTCGATCTTCTTGAACACTCCGTTATGTATTCCAGAGTATCAAAGCACAATCCCAGTTAGCCATGATGTTTCAGTTTTTGCGTTTATCGAAGAAATCCAGTTTTCTGTTGGTCGTTCTTTTCTTCACGGATGAAAAACAGCTACTTGCCGTAGGTATTCCAGACAAGATCAATCTCGGAAACAGTGCAATTTGGGTTCAAGTAGATCATAAGGTTGACAAAAACTAGGGCATTGTGCCTACCTGATTAGCCCCAAGAAGGGCGAAATCGGTCGTGGGCTGTCGAAGAGTTTTCAGCAACTTTGTGAGTAGTTTCCCTTATGAAGATCAATCTAAGTTTTACTTGATTTGCACTCGCAAACTTTTGTTTGTTTGTTTCCTTCGACAAGTTAACCCTTGTAAGTTACTCGTTTTGTATATTGCTCTCTGCAGCGGAGTTTTGTGATTCTACGCAGTGATGATAATACTGAAGTGATTAATCCAATCGACAAGATAAGAAAATCTGTGAGACTTGTTTGCCGGGCTCTGGATTGACATAGGTATTCATCTCTACCAAAGACACAAAAATGCAGGAGCCTGACGATAATGCATAGACTAGACTCAAGACACTGAACTCCACGCACTAGGTTGGCGTCACCAAGTACAAACGGTCTAGGTTAAAGCAAACTGCATACTTATCAATGCAGATTAAAGTGCATCTTTGGTTGACGAAGAATAAATCCAAATGTATATTCGTAATCCACTACTCATAATGTTGTCCGGAAAAACCGAAAACGAGATATTCAGTTGGGTTCCAGGTGAGTCTCTTGAAAAACCAAATTTGTTTGAAAATGAGTGTATATATTCGCTAATTTGGTTTCCTGTAGAACATGAGGTTGACGAAAACTCGGGTACTGTGGCTACTTGAAGAACTCCAAAAAGGGTGAAACCGGTCGTGGGTTGTTGACCAATTTTCAGCAACCTTATGAGTTGTGCATTACGTATAAACATGTATCGCGATATCTCGATATCGTAGCGAGTAAAAGGTGAGGCGGCCTGGTGCGGCACATTCAGATGCCTGGAAACCTCACAAACGAGAGATTCAGATGGGTTCCAGGTGAGTTTCTTGAACAGAAAACTAGTTTGCAAATGAGTGTAGTTCGCTAAATCTAAATGTGATTTACAACTACTCAAAGTCTCATGCTTCACGCTATCTTGACAGATTGCGTTTGGTGCTACTGGCGAATGTTAAACGAATGATGTCTCCCGTTTGTCCCTTGAACTTGGAGGATGGAGAACCTTACAAGTAAAGTAAGTATTGCTCATAAAAGAGTTCGGACTCTGAAAGCTGAGCGACTTCAAAAAATCCAAATAACCTACGAAATGGTTGTTGTTTTACTTCTTGAATATTCGCCAGAGGCAGACCAATATCCGCAAATTCAGGCTCTCCAAAGTTCCAGTGATCGAGTTACAATTTGTTTGTTTCTAGCAAAGTGCCATTTTAGGAAGGAAATCCAATACCCACATTCTTCGACAGGTGGTCGTACGATATTTTCTGACGAGTAAATAGCTGGACAAGACAAGCGAAGTCCACCAGAAATGTTTGGTTTGCTGGTTTTCCAGTTTTACACCCGATTTTAAAAATTCCATTTAATAAGCGACCTTCATTATATATTAGACAAATCAGGTGAGAGAACACGAGTGGGGGTCCTTCAAAACCCCGTCAGTAATTGACAATAACTTTTACACCTGGAGGACGTATATCCCGATCATGGCTTTCAAAAGTCTCTTGATTAACCGGAGTACGGTTCAAGCTGCGGTCAGGTTTTCTCTCTGCTAATTTTGCAAACTCAGTGGAACTAAGAAAGTAGTAGAGCTGATAGTACAGTATAAGTGAGGAAGTCGTTAAAGGTACAGGCTCCCATGTCTCTTGAAAGGGTTCAAGTACAATCTCACCGAGAGCGTGGAAGATTTCAAATGGTGAATTAATTGTGTTTAAAATGCCAGATACTTGTTAAACGCTGAGAGCCTCTAGTGAATTCACACATCTTAGCGAGGGGGTTTCCAGCTATCTTGCAGTACACCAAACTGTACTCAGTTTGTGACCTGTCAGTTCGGTCAGCTTTTATATTAAGGTCGATGAGAACAGTCTGGTCGGTCTTTTGGACTGTATAAATTTCTGCTCAATTTAGAGTACCGAAAATTAACTATCCAAGGTATAGGTTATACCGTTCATCTTCGCAATTTTAAGGTGCAAACGTCCGTCAAACGTACGAAGCATTACAAATTTCCTTGGTGGGAGGTTAATGATACTAGCGTTTAACACGACAAGATTAAGCTGTCGGGAGGAGGTTATCGATTGAAATCTATCAAGCCTGCGTTTCCATACCTGAACTTCTCGTTTTATTACATCAAGTACTTATACACCTCGACTGATTCCCACGACGTTTTCACATCAGGTTCCGGTGCACTTTAGAATTTGCACTTCGGACTCAAGTTGAGCTCTTCAGAAGGCCAACACTTAATCCATAACAAAAAGCACCGTGAATTTCAGCACATGGTGTTTGGTAGGAGGTATGTCCTCTTTAGCCCCACATGGGGACATCCGTTCACTAGCCGAAAGAGTAAGGGTTCGGGAATCCGTCTATATGTGAAACGACTGCTTTTATTCACCTCTCATTTTCTTGAGTTTCATGATCACCTGTTTATTTGACGACAAACGTTCCGTCTACATTGAATTATACACAGCACATTATGCATGCATACTCCTTAGTGCATCCTGTCCTACTAACCCGGAAAGTCTGCATGCTTGTGTGGAAAAAAATGACTTCATCAGTTGTCAGTCCCAGTCACATGACCAGCATAAATCAAAGGATAAATCGATACACTGAGTTCTTTTTTTAAAAAAAATAGAGATCGAATGAACAGTTATTAGTAACCCAATACGTTTTAAATGGGTTACACAAACTTCACCCAGCTTCGTTTGTTTAATCGATTTTTATCGATTCCTAGGTCAGGAGATTACTACAAATTCGCGCTATACGCAAGACCGGACGTAGATCCGAACAAATATGATTATCGTCGGTTGCTATAATTAAGGTTTCGTGGAATATGTTTTTTATTCACCGCACACTAATTGTTTACTTTAGACTTAATTTGTAGTCACTGGATCATTACGTGAAACGGATCTGAAATGTCTTTTACCCAGTTTGTTAGTAAACAACATACTAAAGCTTCCATTAAATACTAGCTGACGTGCATACACTTTTTATTTACGAATTGTTTAAAAATACAATCGGGGCCACTTCGTAGCAGAACCGACTTCTTCCCGGATCTATAAGAAAGTTGAGGGGTGACATTCCAAATTACCTGACTACATTTCCACGCTCCGTATGTGCGGACCATGTGAGGGCCAATGTGGATTTTGTACTTGCTCTAATCAAGACACAGCATGCATAGGGAAGGTAAAAGCCCAAGCTGCGGTGCAAAGCGTTATGTAGGTTTTGGCTTCGTTCTTCCGAATAGGTGGTAGTTAATACCATGATAGATGCAACACAATCTTTTTAAGTATGTGAATCTTTCATATTATGGTAGT